CCCACCCCATACAGTCAGGGACATGCTGTATGTCGCATCGGCAACCTTATAAGACCTGGTCATCATTTTTTGACTACTGCGGGTGTATAGATCTCTGGCTTCATTTAACTGCAGCACCTTGACTTTGATGTTCACCTAAAACAGAAAAACACAACATACTTTTGTGACACAAAACAAAAATTTATAAAGCAACACCATAACCTTACACTAATATCACATTTAAATCATACAATTAATATTACACTACCTACAAATGCAGCAATACGTATAATGAAAGTAGTGTTAGTATTAAAAATGTAATTATTAATAAAATCTATTTAAAATTGTAAAATTAAGCACTCGATTATAATTGCAGCAATACAAAATAAATAAATTACTATTCACACACACAAACTAAACTCTAAAATTTAGCACAGCACTCTTATCTACTACACTGTAAACCCAAATATGGGTTTACAGTAACGATGTAACTCGTTGCCTCAATTTTTAAGTTCATGAACTTAAAAAATTAAGTTTTCAAAACAAATATTTTGATTACATGCTAATTAGACCTTTTCATTACAGTTAAATTAAAACTTGTTATGAAACCAATTTAAATATTTTAAGTTACAGTAACTTAAAATTTTGCTTAAAATTTCATGGCATTAAGTTAACATTACATTAAAAAATAAGTACACAAAGAACCATTTTAAGTTGAATCAACTCAATATTTATTATTGTCTTTGTCTTTTTGTTTTAAGTACCAGTAACTTGTATTGTACAAGTAGAATAACATTTAAAAAACAATAATCAAAACTAAATTTGACACTGCAGTGCTAATTTAAAAGGATAAAACCTGAAAAGCAGATTTAAGACCACACCTCTGACAATAAAAATTCACGAACCTGCATGAACTTTTACAAAAACATGAACCATTTAAAACTAAATTACCTATATGGTTACAAAGTACTACCCAGCTGTACTTAACAACTCTTAAAAACAAGAGCTGCATTAATTACAAATAACATTAATAAATGCACATTGTGAGAAAAAAATGCAGAAACATTTTAACCAGTATTTTCACAAAAACAAATTACATAAAACTCGAGGAACTGCCAGGCCTACATTTGCATCAAATCATTTTTGAGACTCTGTAATTTGGGTGACAGTTTACCCTTGTCAAGACAAAGTAAAATCTTTTGAATGAATTCAAAAGTGTTGGCCAGTCCTTTTTGATAGTTGAGGTGTAAGTGCATAGATCAGTCCAAACAATACCAGGAAGAATCTGGAGAGGCTGCTCACAATCTCACTCTTGATGACAAGTTTTTCACAGGTTGAAAGAGAACTGAACTAAGTTACCACGGTAACTGACTCTGAGTTAAAGTTACCTTTCTTTCAGAAACAGGCTTGACTTACCCTGCTTTGTCCAGTTTAACAAACCTGCCATTTTGAAACGGAAAACCCAGAGTTTCTCTCATTTCAGGGTTAAAATACTCTGAGTTTTCACTTAACCTCCTTTCTGAAACAGGCCCCAGGTGTCTGAATTCACTTACTTACATAGTCATTCACTCTGTCTAGTGGACTAAACTAATTGACCAATTTAAGGGCCAGGTGAATGAGGGTGTGGCGAGATTTCAGACACTCTGATTAGTTTCTCTAATACAAGGGTTTTCTACAAAGGCAGATACATGTTACTCTGTGTGACAAGGAGGCAAATCAGCTTCTAACGCCGAGAGGGTTATTTTACCTTTATTTAACTCTAGAATTTTAACACTTTACTCTGAATTACCTCAACACTTGAAATTTAACACCAATGAATTTGCTGTGTACCCACTACTCCACAGACCACCCCTAGTCTATAATATTTTAAATCTTCCTACATTTCTTTTTGTTGATTGATCAATGGTGTCACCAGTAAACAAGTGCCACGCGTCCTCCACCAAAACTGTAGGGATGGTATACAGTTTAACCCAAAGAATGACCAGTCGGGTATTTAAAAAAGAGCCGGAGTCAGAGATTTAAATAAATAAATCAAGTTTACTGAAGATAGTTTGCAGTTTTATCAGCTGAAACCAGCTTGAACACTCGCAATGAGTTCCTCGGCCGCTCTGTTTACAATCATCAATCAATAACAATTGTACTCTCACATAACGTCAATAGGCTCGTTTGAGGTGCGCCTTGCCTTCCCAGCTAACAGGGAACGTTCCCAGAACATTCACTAACGTTCTTTAAAAGTTGTGGAAATGTTAGCACAAAAAGTTATCAATAGAGCGTTTTTAGAAGGGTGTCATAATGTTGTTAACGTTCTTGTAACGTTGTAAAAAAACGTTCTCAGAACAAAGTTCTTATTAAGTTATTTGTACTTCATAAACATTGTCATAATGTTGATGCAAAATGTTCTTAGAACGTTATATTTTGGTGGAAATTTAATAATAATAATAATAATAATTCCTTACATTTATATAGCGCTTTTCTGGGCACTCAAAGCGCTTTACACACAATGGGGGGATCTCCTCATCCACCACCAGTGTGCAGCATCCACCTGGATGACGCGACGGCAGCCATTTTGCGCCAGACCGCACACCACACACCAGCTGATTGGTGGAGAGGAGACAGCGATGAAGCCAATTGGAATATGGCGATGGTTAGGAGACCATGATAGACAAAGGCCAGTTGGCAGATTTGGCCAGGATGATTTAAAAATTTAGGTTTTTAAAATGTTGTAACACATTATCCTAACCATCAAAAAACGTTCTAGCAACATTAAACAAACTGGACATTTTAACATTCTTGGAACATTCCAAATAAACGTTCTTAGAACGTTATATTTTGGTGGAAATTTTGGTTTTAAAAACAACAATGTTATCCTAACCATAAAAAAACGTTCCAGCAACATTAAGCAAACTGGACATTTCAACATTCTTGGAACGTTACAGATAACGTTATGAGAACGTTCTTACAACCTAAATTTGTTAGCTGGGTTGACTGCAATGTAGACGAGAGTAGGCGGCGTCAATAAGAGGAGGGTTTAAAAGCGTCATTTGAAGTCGGACACTACCCGAATCTCGCTGTGTTGCCGGCTGCAAACGTCAGCAATGGAGGAGATCGCATTCGCGTTTTTTGTGTAGTGGACGCAATCAAAATACCACTGTTATTACATGAAGATGGTCAAAATTGCCAAAGGTGAAAAGTGCTCATTACTTAAATTAAAAAAAAAAAAGAATTCTAAGATCATTAAGTCATGTTGCTTTTGTCTGACACGGGTCATAAGTGTAACAAAATTTGGTTGTGTTTTTGCTAGGAATGTCCCTAGAATTCAGCATTTTGTTGATCAAGTGGTCCATCTATATAGTCCCTCTGAGTTTCAGAGTCATTTCAGACTTTCTAGAGGCCATGTGGAGGTATGTATGGTATATAGGTGTATAAACTTTATATATATATATATATATATATATATATATATATATATATATATATATATATATATACATACACACACACTTAAATGTATAATGCATTTATATATACACAATAAATATACACAGTGAGCACAAATATTATGTGAATACAAATTTTTATTAATCTTGGTCCAGCACAAAAATGTGTATATATTGTATACACACACCGTTCTCATTGGTGTGTGTGTATATGTGTTCATTTATTTATTCACCAAGCAATGTTCTGGGTTGTTTCATCTACATTTACTATATTATGTCAGAAAATGCATGAAATTGTACATTAAAACAATTTAGCCTTGGACCAATGGATAGGTTGGCTTCAACTTATGTGCTGTTGTATACAAAAGCATTGTTTGTATTATGTTAATCATATTTTTTTCTATTCCTAATGCAGGAGCTTATAAATGCACTTGGCCCGATTTACATGAATGCGAATCAGACCAAGGTGCCACTCACAGACAGTATACTTGCCTCTCTATGGACTCTTTCCAATCAAGAGTCCTATAGAGGAGTGGCAGACAGATTTAATCTAACAAAATCCACTGTGTCAAAACACCTGCATGGGTTCTGTTCTCTTGTAATAAATCATTTGGCTCACCATATCTCCTGGTCTAGAGGACAAGCCCTGCATGTATCACAGTTGGGATTTGAAACAGCTGGCTTCCCGAAAACCATCTGTGCTGTTGATGGATGTCACATTCCTATTGTAAAACCTCACTGTGACAATCCTGTGGCCTACATTAACAGAAAACAGTTTTATTCTGTTATTCTTACAGGATTCTGTGACAGTCAGCGGCGCTTCTGTCATGTCAGTGTGGGTCACTCTGGTAGCTGGCATGACTCAAGGGCCTTTCGTTTGTCGGAAGTGGGTCACCTTCTTGAGGAAGATCCACATTCCCTGGTTCCAGAGGGGATGCATATAATTGGTGACTCAGCATACCCGCTTTCCCCTCAACTAATGAAGCCATACAGGGACAATGGCCACTTGACAGTTAGACAGAGGCGTTTTAACAGGAAATTGAATTCTGCTCGTGTTGTGATTGAGCATGCATTTGGCATCCTAAAAACAAAATTTAGGTGGCTCAAATGTCTACAAATGAAACATCTCAAGAACATATCTTCTGCAATCACAGCATGCTGCATTTTGTATAATATGTGCCTGGAATGCAGTGACATAGCAGCTGATGAGCAGGCCAATGATATGGATGAACCATATCCATCAGAAGGCCACATTCCCGGTGATGTGTCGCAGTATAGGGACTCAATCTGTGGCCTCCTGTAAGCATTACTTTCCCTTCCACTCTGCCTTAAAAAAAAAAAAATACGCTTTTCTTTTGCACAAAGGATTTTCTTTTTTTTTTTTTTTGTGAAATGGTAGATGGGATTGTACAGAATAATATTAAACAGTTATAAAAAAAAATTAATAATAAAAAATATATATATATATATAATTTTGCCTCCTGACATGGAAAAAATAAGTGATGTTATTAGTTTTATTTTGGAAAGAAAATCTTTAAACTATAATAATGGTGTGTGCTGACCAATAAAAAATAAACATGGGAGTGGGTTTATATTTATGCTTTATTTTTTTAACAACTCAATTATCATTTCTTGCGACTTGTTGATTTGTTTTAGCTGTTGAACTATTTCTGAAAGGCAGGTTAGAGTTTTCTTTTCAAACACCCTTCATCTTTTTTCTTTGAGCCTTCTTCAACAGTCCAAGTGAGGCTGCACTGCTGCTTCTAATGCAGCGGTTCTTCTCTCTGCATGTGCCTCATAAACATCATATAAAAGCTTCCAACTCTCTTCTGGGGTCTCTCTTTAAAGGGGAAAGCAGTGGAGGGACCAGGCTGATTTGGAGGAAGATGTTCTTCTGAGCTTGATGCTGGTATCAGAGACTGTGGAGCTGTTGTCACGGATGTTTTGAACAGAGTAATTGAGCAGATTGTGCCAGGTGGTGCACTCCCAACACCACATTTACCAAATAACTCCTCCATTTGCTGTGAGAAAGTATATAAAAACAAATTAATGCAAAATATTTTAAAAAGTCAACCAAATCATTCTGCAGCAGTTGAAATACATAAAGAATGCCAACCTTGTAGTACTCCCAAGTTATTTTTTCCTCCCCTGTTGCTCGGCACCGGTCCTTAGCTCTTTTATACGTGGTAATCATGTTACCAAGTTTTTTTCTAAGTTTCTCATTAGTCATATTGTAACCATTTACTTTAAAGTCTTGCTCAATCTTTTTATAAAAAGCAATTTTGTTTTTATAATATAACTGCATGTTTGCTTGTGTGAGGTCAAGCAGCAGCAGTGTGGTCCTGTGTGTGAATTCTGTGAAAACAATTTGTAATTTAGAAAAAGCTTTACAGAAAGATTACATATGCATTTTGAAATGGAACATACCTTGGATTTTGTCGCAATCTGTCTGTTTTAAATGTATCTGAAGATTGGGTCCTTGTGGGGCTTTAGTGAGATCTATGGTTTTTGTTTTACCAGAACATTTAACAAATGCTGGACCAGGAGTGATCTTTGGAGGGGGGCACTGGGACAAAGGTGTAGGATTGTGGATCGTGACTGAAGGAGTAATGACTGGAGGCGGAGGGCATTTGGTCAAAGACACTGTACAATGACTTGTAGCTAAAGGGGGACATGGTGCCAAAGAGGCTGGATGATGACTACTATCTGCAAAATAAAAAAAAATTAAAATTAATAAATCTTATAAGAATTTAAAAATTGTGATTACCAACAACCTTACCTTCTTTCAGTGTTGCAGATCTCACTTGCTGCATTAGACATGCTGCATATTTGTGATCTATAAAATAAAATGACAATTAAAAAGTTTAATTTACAAAAATCAAAGTATTAGTACTAGATAGTCAATGAATTTTATTTATGTTCTTACCTTGCTTTATTTTTTCTGCAATTTCTTTGGAGACAGTTAATGATAATGTTCCTTGGCGATCAGTCAGTGTTATGAACACATTCTCCATTTTGTTGAAACTGTTGGTTTTGAGGATGCCTTTTTATAACCAAAGCCCTAATGGAAAATGCACTGCAAATTTTAGATAGTAGATTTAACTACCTTGGAGTTAAAATTAACACTCCCTCAGAGTTTATATGGGAACCACTATAAGTGTTAAAAATAACACTTTTGAAAGTGTTAACATTGTCAACACCAAGAGAGTGTTAATTAACAAACTCTTATTGTGTAAAATATCTGTTAAATTTCCGAAAAAATACCAGCAGCTGTGGTTGCCAGTAATCTGCTGTTTTTCACATTCATAAATTCAGTTTACAGAATATTTCTGTTAAAAGCACATTCAACAGTCTGTATTTTTTATCGATCTCACACTGCAAATTTTAGATTTGGTAGGTTTAACTACCTTAGAGTTAAAATTAACACTCCCTCAGTGTTTATATGGGAACCACTATAAGTGTTAAAATAACATTTTTGAAAGTGTTAAAATTTTTAACACCCAGAGTGTTAATTAGCAAACTCTTATTGTGTAAAATATCTGTTAAATGTATGTCAAAATACTGGCAGCAGTGGTTGCCAGAAATCTGCTGTTTTCAACATTTTACATTCGTAAATTCAGTTTCCAGAATATTTCTGTTAAAAATACATCCCATAGTCTGTATTTTTCATTCGAACACACTTAAGCCTTAAATTCCACAGCAAAATCCTAACTAGTGTCCTCACTACAGAGGGCTGAACACTCAGACAGTGATGAAGTTAATGAGACAATTAAGTGTCTAATTAAAGGAGGATTGAGAATTGTTGATGAACAACTGTTAACAAGCAGAATCACTGAAGGACAGAAAAACACAAGCCAAAACCAAAGATGAAATCAACTGAGAAAAAAAAAAACTCTAAATAAAATAATAATCAATAAAAATAAAACAAATTACACAATAAAAAAATGTTATTTTTCAACATCTTTAAAAAAACTCATCACATTAAACAACTTATCATGGAGCTTCACCTATTACTGACCTTTGATTTTATTTCTGTCATGTGAACAAACGCTCTTAATGAAATTTCCGTTGTTCATTTGAAGTCACCATGATGGAGGACAGAGTCTGCTTTAGTCAGGTTCTTCAACTTCTTACTATAACTGTCTTTAATTTGGCTGCTATAGTTAGTGCTAATTACACTATTTATACATATAGCATGGAAAGCTGAAAGAAAATTAAAGTGTCAGTCTGAAGAGATTATTAATGATAACATAGTCTTTCTTTCCTGCTTTTTTTCTAATTCAATATCATATTAGTTATGTGTGAGAAATAAATAATATACATAAATGAAACCACTATAGCTTTAATAAAATAAAAACAATATTTACAATGAGAATGTTTGATCTATGGCAGAACTCAAAAACACACAGACATCAACAATTAGTCTTTGAATCTCAATAATGGTGACAAAAATAAAAATCAAGTAAAAAAAAAAAAAACTCTACTGAAATATCACCTCCCAAAAACAACACAAAATAAAGGAAAAGAAAGAGATTGTAAGAACATAAAGCTGCATAATTTATTCATGCTGCAATGCATGCTGGGAGCTTTGTACTATGCTGGCACCCAGCATGCATTGCAGCATGAACTATGCAGCTTTTTTTTTTTAGCAACCACGGTTGAGGTTCATGTCCTGATTCTTGATGCCTGTGTGTCATAAAGAGCAAGCTGGAGCTTGAATGTTTAGTGCATGACACTCTAATTATTAATTGCATCCTAATTGTTTGTTGAATCTTCTATGAAGAGAATCAGACTACCTGTAGTATTGTTCCATGCAGTTTTAATACAATTATATTTGCATATCTTTATGAATTAACTTAATAAACACCTGAAGTTAAATCTATAATAATTAAGCATAAACAGTATAGTTTCTCTTGACCTTTCTTGCTATAGCTAATGAGTTTTAGAAACACAGTTATAGCAGTCAGAGAAACATTAGGATATAAGAGTAAAGCTTCAAGAGCTCACATAAGCAGCCTCTGATCTCTATGATGGTGAGGTCAAATGAAATATTTTTTTTTATAAAAAAATATAAACCTCTGTTCATTGTCAAATATTCTTACAGAAATGAAGTCAAACTGTAATCAGTGAAGCTGCTTATACTATTATTTAATGGAGTTGTTTATTCCTCTGTTTTAATTCAGTTGGTTTGGTGTGAGGCTGTGTCTGTAGATTTATTTCTTCCTTCAATTTCTTATTCCTTCAGTGATTGTGCTTGTTAACAGCAGGTGTTCATCAGCAGGTGTCTGAATTCACTTATTTGTGGTCATTCCCTCTGTCTAGTTGACTAAACTAATTGACTAATTTAAGGGCCAGGTGAATGAGGGTGTGGTGAGATTTCAGACACTCTGATTAGTTTCTCAAATACAAGGGTTTTCTACAAAGGTAGATATCTAACTCTAGAATTTTAACACTTTACTCTGAATTACCACAACACTTGAAATTTAACACCAATGAATTTGCTGTGCAGAGTTTGGTCGTTCAGTTCATTCAGACAGTAGAACAGATTGATGGATCTCTCTGGAGACAGATTCCCTTCAAGTTTCTGTTTGATGTAGGCAATAATTTCCTCTTTGCTCTGGTCTCTGTCATCCTGCTGTGTCAACAGGCCTCGTAAGAGTTGTTGATTAGACTGGAGTGACAGACCGAGAAGGAAGCGAAGTTAAAGGTCCAGATGTCCATTCTCACTTTCCAGAGCCTTGTCCACTGCTGTCTTCAGGAAATCAATCATGCTTTTATTTTTGCTTATCCGTATAAAAAACCATCCACGCTTCTTGTCATTGTCTAGAATCAGATGTTGATAAAGGGCTGCAATGAACTCCTGAATGCTCAAGTGAAGAAAGCAGTACATGGTACCAAGAATGATTCCCGTCTCCTCCTTAAAGATCTGGGTACAGATGCCTGAGTACACCGATGCCTTATAGACGTCAATGCCACAGTCTTTCAGATCGCTCTCATAGAAGATCACATTGTTTCTGTCCAGCTGCTGGAAGGCCAGTTTCCCCAGTGAAAGGATGAGCTTTGGATCGCAGGAGACATCTGCGATCCAAATGAACACAATGAACAAATGAAGAAATACTGAAGGGAAAAAACAAGAACAGAACATACAAAACTTTAGTCACAGCTTTATAATGAAATAACCTGAAGAACAACAAGTGATTAAATCATTTAAATGATCAGCGGATGATTAAACAACTCTACAAACATCATCACCAGCTACACTTATTACTTAATACATGTATTTTTGTATAACATTTACTAAAGTTCTTCTTGAGAAAAAGTTAAAGTTTTACGTCACCATCATGGAGAACAGAGTTTGGTTTAGTTGGGCTCTTAGCCCTGTCATTTTTAACATTTATATATCTTGGCTGCTGCAATTGTTAAGAACTTTGAAAAGCTCCTTTGTTGTGGCAAGCCAGCCAAAAACCTAAATAAGATCTGGTGATGTTTATGTTGCTATTAAATGGCAGAGTCTGTTCTCATTTAGTATAATAAAATATACTGCTCCTATTCAATGTTAAATCTATTGTTTTACATTATATGTCTATATATGGCAATGATTTCTGGAAGTTTTTAAGAATATCTTGGACAATAACACTGCTCTATGGTGTAAATCGCACTCAAAGAGACATCAATAATCAGCTTATGAACCTCAATAATGGTGACAACAAATTGAACAAAATTAACAGTTTAACTCACAAACAGGAAACTGAAAGTCTAAACATAAACAACAGCAGAATCAAACACAAATAAAGAAAAGTGTGAGACCATTATACAACATTTATTTATACCGCAATGCATGCTGGGATATTTGTACAGTGCCACTTCCAGCATGTATTGCAGCATGAAACATTTGAGATGTTACCATTGTTAAGATACAAGGTCAGATTCATGAGGTCTGAGTGTGTATGTGTCTTAACTGAACTGTTTTTGTATGTTATTTCTTAACTGTTAAGTAATTACGGAGGTATCTTTTCTGTTTCCACTTCTCATTAATTAAATTAATACCTGCAACTAAGCATAAAATCTATTGCATGAGGCCCTTCTTCCAGATTTATAACAAAACATTTATCAGAACTAATTTCAGCCAAATAGATTTCTCTATTTATTGACTTTCCAACTTTATTGCTATGGTACAAACGTTTTGTAAACTCTGTATTACAGCAGTTTGAAAGTCTTCCTAAATGTATTCAAGGGTGAAGAGCCCAACTAAACCAGCCCCTCACTCCATTACGGTGACACAAAAAAACACCTTAATTTCTGTTGGATCTCAATGAGAATAGTATGGAAGTCAAATCAGTCAGTAATAAGTGTGTGTCTGCTGTTGTTTGTGGAGTTGTTTAATGATCCTCTGCTGAGACTGAAGCTGTTTTATTTAATGTTGTAACTCAAGTCACTGTTTGTGTTTCTTGTTTATTTTCTTCAGTAATTGTAATTATTAACAGCAGGTGTTCATCAGTGTCTGAATTCACTCATTAGTGTTCATTAAAACTGTCAGGTGAACTATATTAGTTAACTAGTGTATGAAATAGTGAACAAGGACACAAAGCGTGATTTCAAACACAGACTTCAAAACATCGAATCTGAACTCTGTTAGCTCACAGTTTTCTGCAGTTGGTTACTTTCTCGAAAAAAAAAATGTTACCCAGAAAGCACTGTTTATAACAGAATATTACTGTTTTAGTGAAAAAACATTATTTTACCGTAGAATCTGACCGTTTTTTAACAGCAATTTTTACAGTGTGTCTGATCTCATGTTCAGTGTTGACCTGGGCTGCGTTTCCCAAAAGCATCGTAAGCCTAAGAAGTTCGTAGAAATGATCGTACGACTGATCTTAATATTACGGTCTGTTTCCCAAAAGCATCGTAACTTAAGTAGCACTTGAAAATCTTAGTGGATCTACGAGTGCTCTGGAGTAATCGTAAAGCCTTAAGTGCATCGTAAGGAGACAGAGTTATGAGGGCACCTGCTGGACAACCGGCAAATTGCACCTACAATTTACTTCTCTTCAAAGTCATTATTCATTTTATTTGTACGTATATCTCTATTCATTTATATTTTCTACACATTACACAATTCAATATACAAATAAT